AACAGAAACCTGTAATTTTGTGGTTGATGCATGAGCCAGAAGATAATCCGGTTCACTCTCACGCAGCATTTATTACAGCACTGGGTCCAGCAGGAGTCAGAAATATTCATTTCATGTTGAGGATACAAAGTCACACCGCAATTCTGAGCCCTGACCTTTGCCACCAGACTGCAAGTTAAAGCCAGGAGTTCTCTGGTCTCACCTCTCAGCTGTGCAGCATTAGGTAGAGGATCCAGCAGGAGGTTTTCCCTAATCTGTAGGTGGAGCTTATTGACTCAGAGTTTCTCTGAGCTCATATTCTCATCGCTCAGAGTAATGAAATGAATCCCAGAGGCTGTGTCCTCAGTTACCTGGGAGTATCTCTGCTGGTAAGGTGGGTGTTAACCAGCCAGACATGACTGTCCACGGCCACAAACAGCACTGAGAGAGCAGAGCCTTTCCTTTTGAGGGTGACATGCAGGTGGGCCTTGCTTTCTTCATGTTGATTGTAACACTGTGATCCAATTGATAGCTGGCATTGTATGAATTGAGACTGAGTTATGGGGGAATTGTCAGAATTGAGTTGCTTGCTCTGCTGTGGCCTCGCGTTTGTGTATTGTGCTGACCTGATGCCTGTGGGATGCGATGGGAGGTTTTAGTAAAGCTATTGAAGCACTTCAAATAGGTCCTAAATAGAGTAAGCACACAAGTTGCTTTACAGCTACAATGGGAAGACCTTAGTTAGTGCAGCTTGTATTTCACAGGTGTTTCCCTCTGCCCTTGATGCCATGTGCCCTTCCAGTTCTGCTTTTTACCCTCTGAAAATGAGGGCACAGTCTCTTAGGACCAGGAGTAATGAAGAGCCAGCAGAGGCTGGAGCAGAACTGTTCAGTTACAGGCGTTCTCTTGTCTCATTACCCAGATTGCATAAAGAGGTGCATTCCTGCTGAGCTCAAAATTGCATCTTTTTACTTCCTACCTGACATAGCAGAGTTACAGAGAGAGCTGCAAACAAGCTTAAAACTACAGCATCCTCAGAGCAATGCTCAGGATACAAAACACCAGGCTAACCAAAAACCCACGAGGAGCTCTGGATGCTTCTGCCCAACATCTGTAACGTGTGACAGTGGGTCCGAGCAGGTCCTGCTTTGAAATTATGAATTTCTTTCCTTACTTTCAGCCTGCCAGCCTGCTCCTTGGCTGCACAAGATGATCAACAGATGACAACAGGGTCATTTGGAGGGGGATGTAGAGGAAGGCAGCTCCAAAGCACCGTGCATTTGAAGTATCTTACTACATCTTTATCAGCTATTTGATGTATTGGTTTTCTTGTACCATGCATGGGTTGGTACTCCATGCTGTTGTTGGAGGGAACTGGTGCTGTTGGCTGAATCTGGGTGTGTATCTGTACTGCTGTGCTGGCATTGCCATGGTCACATTATTACAATTTAGCTTTTCTGGTGCCTTTTAGAATAGCTTCTACCAAACCAATCCCAGCAATGCATCATTACACAACATAACCTAACAGTGCTGTTGTGCTTCGTGTCTTAAGGTAAAAGCAGACTCCACTGGCACTCTACTACATGTATTGTGCATCTGCAATTCCCATTCACATAGCAGGTAACAAAGTTTCTAATTATCCTAGGCTTCTCGGGAGCCTTGTGTCTTCACTGCTTTTTAAAACCTTGGAATAATCAATAGCAGATGGATTTCTTCTGTTCCGACTGATTACAGGCCGTCAGGGATTGCTGTGCTCATTCTCATCACGTGCAGATGAGACCCACTTCAGGAAAGTTTCGGGCTGTTGTATGCATAACACACCTGCCAGCTTGACTGTACAATTCTCCCTTTTCTGATCGCAGCTAGATAAAGTGATGAGAGCTGCAACAGCTTACACATAGTGCTTAAAGAGACACCAGCCCTCGCTGTATGCAGGTGAGGACAAGTGGTTTGAGGTTAGGTTTTGCTGCTGTTTGTTTTGTTTGCTTCCCTCTGTTTTGTTTTTGCAAAACTAACCACGTTAACTCAAGCTACCCACCAGCAATACGGAGCCTCTCTTCAACCTGCCCATTCTAACCTGTCATTGCTGTGATACTAAAAGTCACAGAGCTTAGTGGCTCTTCTGAGTTGAAGGTTTTCTGGCTATGGATGAGTGCTGTTCCAGCCCAAAAGAGGCATCCCAACCTCTCCTGTAGAGGAGCCATTTCCTATAGTAAGAAGAGGGAGAGAAATCAAGCCTATTTTAACAGATAGGCAGGAGGCTCAAGCATAACTATTTTGCCAAACTTTTGCCTTCAGTGTTACCTATTGCTTCGTGCTCTTCTTCCTCACAGAGAAGGAGATATATTCTCTTTTTTTCTTATGGCCATAAGAAGTGATTTTCTCAAAGTTATTTCTTCTAGCCCTGCTAAAAACCAGAACCAAAACGCAGCAGGACCCCCATCTCTCCAGGAATTACACTCCACTCTCCTAGCTCCTTCAGCACCAAGTCCTGTGACTATTTTGCTATGTCTGGAACTCTTCTTGTACACACAGGCTGAGCCTTTTGCCTTATTACAATTTCTTTTTAAAGTAATTAAACATTTACCTTGAAGACAATGCTTTGTTTTTTTTGTTAAGAACAACGATATTATAATTTAACCTCATTCAGAAAACCTTTAATGTGTAAGCATTTACCTTCAAGACAACATCATGCTAAACACAAAGAAAAAAAAATCTTAATCTAGTATAATCATAAGCCTCCAACTTTTCTATTACTGCTGTCTAAAGAGAGGAGCTCATCACACCCCCTCGGTTTGTTCAGAACTGTTTTATTATCCCTTTGATTTGTTCTCAGCTGTGTATTTTCTTATCCTCCTTGATGCTGCCAGATCCTCTTAGCAAGCAGTGCTATCTGACCTCTACAGTCCTGGGGCCATCACTAAGAAGATGAAGGGACCACCACAATAGTGGGAATGTTGTTGTTCTGTTTGTTTGTTTTGATAAGGCTGAGGCAAATCACAGTCTTGTGGTCTCTCCAGGGAAGAGATCTGGAGGTGAATGCTGCTTCTTTTTTTTTCTTTTTTTTTTTTCAGTGTGAGGCTGAAGCTGGGTGTTAAGAGATCAGAGAAGGAGTGATGGAAGCTCATGGAGCAATGGTCCCTAGAGGAGTGCTGATAAATGGGTCCCTGATAAAGGCGAGAGGTTATAAAAGCCTTCCCAACTGAACCAGCGCTGAAAATAACAGAGCCGGCAGGTGGCTTTCAGGTTCCCTCCCATCTTCTGAACTGCATTATGAAGGTGTACAATGAAGCAAAACCAAAATATCCTTTGCAAAGAGCTCCTCTGCTCTCCGAGGAGCCTTTGGAGTGTCTGCTACACTCAGCATGGCTCCCATGCAACCTGTCCAACAGAGCAGGTATGTACCCCCCTCCCCCCAGTATAGCTATGGGGCAGGGAAGCAAGAGCACCGAGCGCTCAGCACTCCTCAAGCAGCTGCTCCAGACAGAACAGCATGCAGAGAAAGTGGCCTGGATGCGCTCCTTGCTCAGGCTGAACTGGTCCTGCCTGTAAACCACAGGAGATGGCACAAATTCAAAACCAAATCATCAAGGTGCAGCTTTGCCTCTGAGAGGGGGGGGGGGGTGGTTATGAGTACAAGGTTCACAGGGCAGCCACCAGAGATCTGAAAGCACAAGAGCTACTTATTATTTTTATTTTGACTAGATGAAGGCCTGCGGTAGTCGTGTGGGTGTAAGGAGGTTGGTAAAGCGGGATGGTTGCAGGCCTTGGGTCAACAGCCCTCCTTGCAATCCTCCTCCTAGAGCTGCTCTGCCTGCCTGCTTCACAGCACCGTCAGCACTTTGAATAAGAAGATGTCAGCAGAACCAATTATTGGTTGAACAGTTTAAAACGTGGGCCCCTGCTAGACCCAGAAATCAAAGCACTTCTTTTTCTCCTGTGGTTTTAGTTATTCATGAGGAAGGAACGTGCTCCTGTTTCCCTGAACACAGGAAGATGCAAACAGCAGATGATTTTTCTTTCCTCACAGCTCCTCTGCAGCCTACAAAATGTTCTCTTTTAGCTTTTCTAAGTTTAGTCACATCAATACTTCCGTGGCTGTGCTTTCGCCTTTCCTGGGAGCTGCTCTCAGAGTCATAGCACAGAATGGTTGGGCTGGAGGGGACCTGACACCCATCCAACCTGACCTCGAGCACCTCCAGGGGTGGGACACCCACATTTCTCTGAGCAGCAAAGAAGAATAGCGAAGAATTTCCTCCGAACATCCAACCTAAGCTTTCCCTCTTTTAGTTTAAAACCTTTCCCTGTCATCCTATCGCTCTTCTCCCTCCCCCCCCCAGTGCTGCTCCTCAGCCCCTCAGAAGGCTTTGGGTTTGGGTGGGAGCCTTTTTTTCGCTCTCACTGCTCATCCTGTGACAGATGTGTACTTTTTTATAAGCATTTACGAGCAGAAATGTTTCAGCCTGCTGCCCTCAGCGACAGCTCACAAGGTGACCATCAGACTGAGTTGCTGTTTGTGCAATGTGCTGAGGGGGAGCACAGAGCACAGTGAGGATTTAAGGATTTAGGGCTCAGGGGTGTTCCACGGTAGGAGCTGATTTGGGGTTTATGGAAATGAAAAAAGGCAACTGTGTCTATAGAAAGGTGGCTGTCAGCCCACGGAGACAAGGCTCCTTCCAGGGGTGTCTCGACCCCTGTCGAGGGGTCGTGCAGCCTCAGGCATCGAGCCCGCTTCCCCACGCGTGTTCCCTCAGCCTGAGGTATCTCACAGCCCTCCGCCACCCGCAGCCGACACGCGGCCAGCAAAGAGCTCAACGGGACAACGGCACACCGCCGCCTCTCCGAGCCCAGCAACTGTGGTAAACAAGCGGGCGGGCCTCCCGGCTTTCCTGACGTTCAGAAGAACCAATGGGCGAGGCCGAGCTCCACCCGTTAACCAATAGCAAGCGAGGGCGGGGAGAGACGATGGGCGGGGCTAACGTCACGGCGGGCAGGATCCGGGCTGCTGATTGGCCGCCTCCCGAATGGCCGTTGGGCTGGCGCGGTGACCGAGGGCGCGGGCGGGAGGAGGGGCGGGGCTGCGGGAGCTGTCGCAGTGAGCGGCGCTGGCGGCGTGCGGTGCTGCGCGGCTCTGCACGGCGGAGCTCCTCGGGAGGGACGGGGCGGAAAAGTCCCCCCGAGCGGCTCGATGCGCTTAGATCCATGCTGAGCGATGGGTGGGCGGGAGAGCGGAGCTGCCCGTGTGAGCGGCGGGCTGCCCCGTGCCGCCTCCTGATGTAACGGCGCCCGTCGGCGCTGACGGCAGCGGGGCTGCGCTCGCTGTCACTCGGAGCGGTCGGAGGGGTGAGTGAGCGGGGCGCCCCGGGAGAACACCGCGATGACAGGCTTTAAAACGCCTTTTGGAAGCGATCCCGCTTGCTTTCGTGGTCTGAAAGTTAAGCTTTTCCCGTAGACCCGAGGAGGGAGCGAGGGGATGTGAGTAACGGCAGAGGCTGGAGAGAGCGGTGATGCGCTGGGAGCTGTTCGAGCAGCAAAACAAAACGCTTCGGCTCCAGCCCGGAGATCCCAGCCGGAGCCGAGCGATCCGACGGCTGATGGGAAGCCCGGAGGGAGAGGGCGAAAGCGAACCGATGCCGCTGGAGGGTGGGGGAAGAGCCGGGGGGGCTGCAGCTCCTCCGTGGAAATAACGCGCTCTTACGCTCTTCTCCTCCCCTCCTCCCCGCAGAAATGCCGCAGCATGAACCCACCGCCTAAACGGACGGGATCGCGCCTGCCCGGCACCTCTCCGTGAGCCGAGTCTGGAAGCCGCCGTCCGGCGTCCGCCCCGGGATGCGCTCCCCGCCGCCTTCATGCCGGGCGGGGGGACCCTGAGCCGCCGCCCCGCGAACCTTTCGGGCAGCGCCGCCGCCCCGCCCCGCAGCGCCCGCCCGCCCGCAGGACCTCCGGGCAGCGGCGGAGCCCCGCGGCTCATCGCGCCCCGCACCCACCCACGTGCGGCCCCGTGAAGGCGTCCGCGGCGCCGCGTCTCTGAGCCCTTCGCTGCGGTGGTGGCGGCGGAGGCTCCCACCCGTCGGCCGCGATCCGCCGCCCCATGGTGCTGCCGCGGAAGCTGCCGGGGATGCCGGGCTGGCCGGCGGCGTTGGGGCTGCGGCTGCCGCAGAAGTTCCTTTTCCTGCTCTTCCTCTCCGGCCTGCTCACGCTGTGTTTCGGGGCCCTTTTCCTCCTGCCTGACTCTTCTCGTTTCAAACGCCTCTTCCTGCCTCGCCGGGCCACCTCTTCATCCTCCTCATCATCATCGTCGTCGTCGTCGTCCACGCGGGACACCGAGCTGCCCCGCAGCCCGCCCGCCGCCGCCGAGCCCCGCCACGCCAGCCCCGCCGCCCCGCGTCGCCTTCGGGAGAAGCTCCGAGCCCGCAACGCAGCCCCAGCGGCACACACGGCCCCGGCATCCCGCCCGCAGGGACCCGATGGCGAACGCCCGGCCGAGGTCGGCACCGGGGCTCCCCGCGAGTCGAGAGCTCCGTTCCAATTCGACTACGAGCGGTTCCGTCAAAGCCTTCGGCACCCGGTGCGGGGCGGGCGGCCCGACCAGGACCCCGACATCCGAGCCCGGAAGATGAAGATCAAAGAGGTGAGGACTGCAGAACCGCTCTCCTCACAGCATCGTACCCCAGCCCTGCCCTCACCTCAGAGCCTCGTGTCCCCTGTGCTGGCTCCCACCCCTGATCCCCCTGCCATGGGCAGCCTCACAGCCTCGCTTCTCCTCCTCCTCCTCCATCAGGATTCATCCTCACAGCTGCGTTGTCCCACTCACAGCCCTGCCCCTCTCGGTCGCTCCATCCATCCCTTCACAGTCCCGTCCTGATCACCCCTTGTCAGCCCATGCTCTTCACATTTCTCATCTTGCAGTTCCCAAACCAGGCCCCATCACCTTCACTGCTCCCTTCTCCATCCAGGGAGGATGATGAGTTAGAGAAGGGACAGCATCTCTGCCCGTGGGCTGCTCCCGTGACATGTTGGCAGGTGTGATGTTTGTGTACACACACCTCTTGGTCTTAGGGTAACGTAGGGTAATGTAATAGTGCGAGGCTGGAAAGCACTGAATTGAGGCGAAAGGGAGATTTCAGCTTTAGTGTTATTCAAGGGAAAAAATGAAACGTGCTTGTGTGGTTGTTGAAGAGGTTCCCACCCGAGATGTGGTGTTTGAAAACGTGAAAGCTGGTGGGAGATGATGGAACTGTGCCCGACTTTGGGGATGTACAGATGGATGCGCCTTCGTGGTCACGGAGAGAAAGCTTTGCTGGGAGATGAGCTCCTTGAGAGCAGCCCTGCGGAGAAGGATGTGGGGGTTGTGGTGGGGGGAAAAGCTGGATGTGAGCCAGCGGTGTGTGCTTGCAGCCCGGAAGGCTGACAGCACCCTGGGCTGCATCAGCAGAGGGGTGGCAATGGGCAGGGGAGGATTTACCCTCTGCTCTGCCTTCGTGAGGCCCCATCTGCAGTACTGTGCCCATTTCTGGGCCCCCGGCACAGGAGGGATATGGAGCTGTTGGAGCGGGGCCAGAGGATGCCAGGAAGATGATCAGAGGGCTGGAGCACCTCCTGTGAAGGAAGGCTGAGGGAGTTGGGCTTGTTTAGCTTGGAGAAGAGGAGGCTGTAGGGAGACCTCGCAGTGGCCTCCAGTACTGAAAGGAGTACAAGCAGGAGGGGGACTGACTTGCACAGCCTGATAGTGACAGGACAAGTGAGAATGGCTTTAAACTGAAAGATGGGACATTTTGGTTTGGTGTTAGGAAGAAACTCCTTACTCAGAGGGCGGTGAGGCGCTGGCATTGCTGCCCAGAGCTGTGATGCCCCATCCCTGGAGGCACTCAAGGCCACGTTGGATGGAATCCTGGGCAGCCTGAGCTGGTGGGGTGCACCCAGCCCACGGCAGGGGTTGGAATTAGATGATCTTTAAGATTCCCTCCAACCTCAGACATTCTGTGATTCAATAAGGCTTGAGGCTGACTGTCCTGTAGGCTGTTCTGTCACTTGGTACAGGTGGAGTTGTCCTCAGGGCAATGCTTGCAGTCCTGAGCCTGTGCTCATTCAGACCCCAGCAAAGCTGGTACCATCATCAGCAGGGTGACGTGGGTGTGATGGAGGGGAGAGCTTGGCCCCGTGCCCACATTTGGTGCGTAAAAGCCTGGCAGCCTTACAGACATTGCACTGCAATCCGTGACCCAGTTAACCAAGAACTATAGATTCTGGTTTTTTTTCACCACAGTGGGGGGAAAAAAAAAAAAAGAAAAAAAAAAAAAAAAAGGAAGTGATAATGCGTGCTTGTTTTTGTTTCTCTTTCCTCTGTATTTTCCTCTTCTCCAATTCCAGCAGTCCCATTCTGGCTTGAGATGAACAGGCATAATGACATAAGGCTACTGAAAACTTCCATCAGGTTATTCTAGTCCATTGAACTGAAGAGTGCAGCCACGCACACGCGTGATTAAGATAAAAACTCATTGATTAAAGGTATTCTGATAGTATTTCTTCAGGAGGAAATGAAATGTGATGATGTAGCTTTGGGCACAGGAAATATGCAGGAAATGTGTTCAAATTGCTGGAAGAGCAGTTCTGTGTTAGAGGGGCAGGGTGATTTATAGCAAAAAAAAAAAAAAAAAAAAGTACGTGTTAGGTCACTGTCTCCAGAACATGTTGTTATAAATCAAAATCATGGATAGGCACCAAGCTTGAAGTCGTGGGAATTCATCAGCAATGTAGCAAGGAGGGGTTTGGTCCCTTTTCTCGTTTATCAAGACCCAGTGAAACAGCCTCAGATTGCATCAGGGGGAGGGGAGGTTTGCTTTGGGTATCAGGAAAGATTTCTTTGCAGAATGGGTGCTCAGGTGTTGGAACAGCCTGCCCAAATTGGTGCTGGAGTCCATCCAAGAGACGTGTGGCCATGCTGCTCAGGGATATGGTTTAGCAAACTGGGTAGCATTGGGTGATGGTTGGACTTGATGATCTTAAGGGTTTTTTCCAACCTGGATAATGGTGTGATTTAAGAATGTCCTCCTCACCACCCCACGTCTAAACTTCTTGGTGCTCTACCAAAGAAGAGGATGTGGTTGTAGTGTTGAGGCTATGTGTAAACTGCCAACTAATGTGTTACTGCTAGATTTTATTCTGCTTAAAATATAATGTTGCTTGGAGTGTGAAATTCACCTCTGCAGCATCTTCTACTTGGCTGCTGTCTGGGAGAGCTCTAGGCAGCAGTAGGAGCAGCAGAGCTGTCTGCAGATTGATTCTGAGTAGGGGGTATCCTCTTGACTCTGTGCTGTGAGTGCTGTGTTTTTAATAGTGGTACAGAACGGAGAGGAAGTAGATTGGTGAGTTTAAATGAGGTGTTGAAGCCTGTTAGGAGAAAGTACTGCAATTAGCTGAGCTGACGTGTGCGTGTAAGTGTTCTCGTTTGCACTGGAGGGTAACTTAGCAGAGTTGTAGGCTTCTTAGGTTCAATTTGTCTTGTTAAAGGCAAGTCTGGCATCGATAAGCAGTTGTTTTCCTGAGAAGGAAAATGAAAGCACCTGTATTGCATAGACTGTTTTCTGCAAAAGGTTGTTGGTCACCTGGCGGATTGCCTGGGAGGTGCAGCTGTGTGTGACTGTGGGCAGCTGAGTGAGGTGAGCACTCAGATTTCTTGCAGAAAACTTCAATAGAAGCAAATAACCATCTCCCCACGTTGGAGGTTGGGAAATTTTAAAAGAGGGCTTTGATTATTCACCTCTTAAACTGATGCCTGAAAATGTATTAGTTCTGTAATCAGTTGTGCATGGCTTCAGAGGGAACAGTACATCATACGTGTCAGTAGCACGTGCCAAAAAACAGCTAATAACTGGTATTCAAAAAGACAACAACAACAACAGGCTGTTTGTAGTCAGAAAGTGACTGCAAAAACGCCACAGTGGGATTCCATATTTATTCACTCTCAACAATTTTCAGATCAAATTGCTTCAGTGAAAAGTCAGAATGATTTCCCCTCCAACTGCTGCTACTGCAAACTCGGCCTCAGATCTGGGAAAATCATACTGTGTGGTTTCTGCCTTTCGCATCATAACAAGTAATAAAGGTTTTGCTGTTGGAACTGAGCTGACAGTTTTGCTGATGATGGATGAAGCAGAACAGACTGCTTCCTGCAGTCGTGCTCCTGTGCGTCTCATAGGTGAGGCAGCAGTGAGGACAGAGAACAGCATTACTGTAAAGTATTTTTATACCAACCCTGTTAATACCATCTAGTGCTTAAGAGCAACCACTGCAAGCAGCTGGACCAGAAAGTGTCTGTGGATGCATTGGAACAAGCTGGCTTTCTTCCAGTCACGAAGGTGGAGGAAGAAAAATGTGTGTGGTGAAGTAGATTCAATGGTTCTTTTACTCTTCGGGTACAAAAGGAAAGTTTCTTTGTCTGATGTCAGAGCATACCTCATACTTTAACCTGACGGTGTCCTTTGTCCCTTTTGAATGGGGAGAGGTGCCAAATTCAGTCAGTTTTTCTACTCCTCCTCTGGAGTAGTGCTCTAGGGTTTGACACATGCCTTCATATCCTCCGGGACTGGTAATACTGAAACCCATTTGTTTTACGTAGCAATTCCTTTCATCCTGGCTTTTCTTCTCGTCCTCACCTGCGTTTGCCTCCCCTTGCTGTCTGCTGGCCTCTTTTAACGCTGCTCTAAAGATGTGTTTGCTTTTGATAATCAGATCCCAGGGGAGGGAAAGCTGTCAGAGCCCATGCACGCAGTTATTCTGCATCGCTGCAGATTAGCAAGCCCATACTAAGGTAGATCAGTCTTCTAAACGCAAATATCTTGACAGTTTGTCACTAGAGGTAATTGACAAAAATAGAAACGTGCTCAGGACTTGCATTTTGGTGGAAAACGATTTGCTGTTGGTTTGCTGCCTTTCCAATGTGTGGTTCTGACAGTCCTGAGCAGCATTCCCTTCTTCGCCGCCGAAGAACCTAAAAGAGGGCAATGTGTTGCTGTCAGGTTCTCCTTCAGCTGTTGTGTTTCTCTTTTTGTTTGTTAGTGTGTAGAACGATGCAAGAGGAAAGCTGCAAAGAGTAACTGATGGAAGAGATTCAGAAATTCTACGGCATTTCTTTCTCCAGCAGCACTTGCATACTTGCATGGGGTGATGCTGTGCAGTGAGGCTGTATGGTCAGTTCCTCCCAGAGGACATCTCCTCTCTAAGAGCATCTACAGAAGTCATGACCTAACTCCCACACGTTTATGGAGCAAGATGGCTCTGGGCAGTCTGTGCTCAGAATTGGAGCCACAGCAGTGTCTGTGTGATGCTGCAGAACAGGTTGATTTCTCTAATTGCATTAACGTGATTTTTTTTTTGGTGCTGTTTTGGCTTTCTTGAAAGCCTTACTTACCACGTTAGGGTTCCTCAGTCTTGAAAAGTCGTAATTGTGTTTGATTATCTTATCTATCAGACATTTGTTCTGAGTGTTGTGAGCCTTCCAACAACCAGGACGTCATTGCCTGCTGGGTTAGTGATGCTCATGTGGCAGCTGAGTGAGGCAATGTTGGAATGGTGCTGGGGCCCAATCCTGGTCCCTCTTGTGATGGGAGGCTGTGTGAAAGTGATTCCTCT